ATAACTTCTGACTTAATGATCTTTAATCTTATATTCCTATGAACTACCTTAAAAATACCCTGGAAACATACATTTTCAGTTTCATCGGAAGAATTTAGAAGTCCCTGTCACATCCACCAGAACATGCAATACTTCAGAAGCCAAGCATTACGCTTGGAAAAATACTAAAGGACAAATTAAGGCCCATACCAAGTCACTTGTTTGTTTTAACCTATGTGAGAAAAGTTAATAAGATAGCCCAATTTTCACAAAATTGCATTAAATCTCCACCTACATCTGTAAATTCTTAAGTAACTCAGGAATCCTTTTCCTAAGTAACTTTCAATTAACCTTACAAATTATATTAAAGGTTTCTGATTGCTTTGAGTATTTTACCTCAGAACCTAGAATTAGTTCAGGCAAAGCAGCACAAGTACCCTTACTGGTAAGGAATGAGGTAGATGAACCATGCTAAGACTGAGCTGTTATAATTAATCTGCTCCCAGTACTCAACCTCAATGGGGCACCGAAGTAGCACACAACCTCACAGAAAACATTAGAGTTTTCAGCATAGACACAACCTTATCCCTTTGAAATTCTGGATAGAAGGAATTTTGCACACGAGACAACACTTATTATGTAGCCTATGAGAAAAATGTGAAGTAGGCAAAAGTACTATTTTCAATATCAAGAAGAAATTGACTTTACTAAGAAGCCTACCAGTTTTATTTATGATGTAAAAAAGGAAGGTCCTTCCTAGTTTTATGTTCCATCCTCCCTGGCCTTGTAAATAGAGCACTTTGCTAAGTCTGACAAGATTCCAAAATTTGTACATTTCTGACAGAATTTAATCCTATTATCTGCTGCATCGCCCAAGAACTAAGATGATAAAACTCTGTCTCTCAGAATGGTTAAATGCCAACAAAATCCTTTCAACTGTTAAATAGCTTTTCAAATTCAGGTATCTACAAACCCCTTGCTAAGAGATTAGCCATAGCTATTCAAAATTTATCTCTAGATAAGCACTTATATCAAAACATGTGAGAGTCGCTGTGAGAATCTTTATTCTATTAGATTTTAAAATCTCCCTTAGTCACAGCCCTGATTTATGCACATTTGCATTTACAAGGCTGTTATCCACTTTCTCCTGGTAGTTCAAATACACTCAAGTAAAGGTATTTCCATCAGTAAAATTTTACATTAGTAAAACTAGGAGAAAACCTGACTAGCTGTTTTGGTGAAATTTGTGTGGGACCGGAGCAAATACATGTAAAATTCAGTAAACTGTGTAAACAAAAAAGGGTGAAATGTAAGCAGAAAAATAACATTTTAGTAAAGCACAAACACACCCTTCATGTTCATGCTTTTGCTAATGCTGTTCCTAACATGGTCAACACTTGACTTTTTTTGAGGGATAAACACCCTTCAGCATAAAGCATCACTTTCAGTTTGCTTGAAGGAGAAATGATCACTTTTTAAATCTACCCAAAAATGTAATGATTTTTTTTTCTTAATTGACTAACAGAACAAAGTATCAATTGTTCACCAACTCGTAACATGATAACCAAGTCAGAAAGGAAAATTCTGCTAGGATCAGGACTCTGACTCCAAGCTTATGGTATGGATAAATTAAAAATCAAAAAAACAAACAAAAAACAGAACAAAAAAACCAAACAAACCAAAACAAAAAAAATCTGCTTCAAGACCTTTTCCAAAAGATGCCATCACAACATTACTCTGGGAAAATAAGACAGTAAAGAATAAATACTTCTGCATTTGCAGTTAGGCTCTTGTCAAATCCACTATTCGGTAAAATGAAAAAATAGATGTCCCCAAAATTTTAATTTTTAATTCATTCAACTACTTGTTGAAGTTTTCGGTGAATTGTGCACTTTTTAATGAGATTTTGTAAAAGGACATAACCATGGGTTACATTATTCTGTACCTTGAAAAGTACCTAGAGGCTGTGCAACATTAGGTTAGTCCATCAAACTTCACTGCCCTAACATACTTCCCAAGAAACTGAAAGCTTTTAGAGATGCTAGACAGGTGCTCTCATTAAAGTTAGTACCTGAATATGCCTAAAACATGCCCAGAGACATTCCTTTCTATACAGTTATCTAGATTATTACACTCACAGCCACAACTGCAATATCCTTTGCTCTCTCTTCACAATTCTAGTCAATTAGACAAATTCAAACACACTGTAATGGGTCAAAATTAGTTCTATTGGTCATTGGATGGAGTAACAAACTTTCCTTTTAGGCTATTTTTTCAAATGTATTTCTCCATATTAACATCATGTTCATTACTGATTTCATGTTTGAGCACTCTGACTACCAACTGTACCTTCTGCCTTGCTCCCTCATATTTTTCATTATTGAGTTTTCTTGTGCTGCTTTGTCAGTTCCCCATCAAGTAAATGCAACTACCTTTAGAGGTGGAAGCTCTTAAAAACTTCACAATAGCGTTTACCAATATGCATATTATAATTTCTTTCACATAACTTATTACATAATGCTTCAGCTGAGTTCTGACAAAGTAGCTACATTGAAATCAACGCGAAGTCAGGAACCTACAACCGTATTTAGTTAGATCTGGGACTCAAGGGCTGGGGTGTTTTAAAGCAGCAACCAAGAACAGTAACTCCAAAATAAACATCTATAAAAGAAGTGACCCTGTGCACTTCAAAGTCATGGGAAGGATTCTTATCAACTTCACTGTTATTAGATTAGGTCTGTATTTAGGCCCAGAATCTGCTTTTATTCCTTTTGCTCTGTTCCTTCTCTTTACTCAGCACTCTGCACAGACTGACACATGCTACCTCCTAGTGCTTCATAAAACAGCATGCAGAACAGAAAGACTTGAAAAGCCAAACAAGATGAAGTTTGAAAAGTAAAACTTCCCAACAGTTATAAGGCTCAAAACCCAGCCATATTTCTAGAGTCCTCAGGAAAATGAAAATCAAAAATTTTAGTCTAAAGGAAGATCTGACTACAAAATAAGGAACATTACAAGATCAGGTACACCCCCAAAAGTACTGAGTATATTGCATTGGAAAGCCGTAATTCAGAAGATTTTTACCATTTGCTTTAACCTCAAGAAACTAAAATCAAAACCAAACCACCATCACACAAACAAAAACAACCACCAAAACACCCAGGACACTCTACTAACCTTTCAAATAAAAAGAAGGCAATATTTTGGACATTTTATAAAGAGAACACTTTCCAGAGTGTTCCAGAAGTGTTACAAACTAGAGTTGTGTGATAACTGTCAATTTTTTAATAAAGCTAAAAAAATCTGTATATTCACTAATATAAACAAATGTCTATTTGCATACATAAACTGTATGCTACTTAGTATTGTTTATATAAAGCATATGAATAAAATCATAAATACAAGCCATTCTTTCAGGGCTAGAAAACAGTCTTATAAGTTAGCAACTGTTAGATTTGCCTTCCAAATCCTAAATGCTAAAGACCAGTCTAATCAAGTTGAAATGTCTCTACAGAGCCCTAATATTCAGTTACCCAAGTTAAGCAAACATTGCAGCAATGCACTTGCTTGGAGCAAATGTCTCTCTCATCCCTGCTTACCATGCTTCGGTTTGCCTCACAGAGACATCTTGGAAGTCCTTGATTAGCTAAAGCTAATGTCAAGTCTTTAATTTGACATAAACCAAGACTTCAAAAGGAGAGATCCTGCCAAGAGACAGCTATCCAGCACAGCTGGCACAGCAAGGCAACTCGTTTCCCAGATGCACAGACCAGCCTGTCAGAGTGAGAGTCCCTTCCAGCCCCGTCAATAACCAGGTGAACAGCACAAAAGGCATCTTCACCGGCTGCCCTTGCGAGAGGTATTTTAAATAGCTGGTTGGGCCAAACAGCACATGCATACTTCACAGCTAAACTGTTCTCGATTATCAGAAAGAGGTGTTTGCTGCGTACATGTACATTTAAACATCTAAATAGCACAGTGGTGGCGAGTGGAGTGGCTAGAGCTAGGAAGTGCTAGCATGGATATGTTGATACTCCAGTAAGAATTATAACTATTATGATAAAATTGAAACCTTCCATGGACCGCACAGTCAGTGAAAGTGGATTCCCCTAATGCAAATGTGTTACTCTTAAATATATAGTATTATTTTAGGACAAAGACACTAAGAATTAGTTTTACATAGTTCCC